ATAAATCATGTCAGACTTTATTCTTTAAAAAAAATTATATTTAATTTACAAAAGACCAAATCCAAATAAAAGACAATTTAGACTTATGGCCGAGTAATTTTGTTCGAATTTAAACAGTTCATATTTCCTTAACCATTTTTGGAATACATTACTATATTTCCTATAAAAGTAACATACATACATAAAACACAAAAAAATAAAACAGACAATAATAAATCAGTATCCCCATATAATGCCTTTGTATTACACAGGTTCACTTTGGATTCAAGGCATTGGTCCCTTAACCCAGTCTACAACTTGCTTTTCATACCAAAGATATGCTCCCTTTGGTTCTTTAATGTTCGGAGGTAGTAAAGCCAAGTAGGATGGTGCGACTGCTCCTTGCTCAATGGTCAGTGGTCCCTGTGGGAAAAGGTGATTATTCATAAACAAGTAAAATTATGAATCAGGAATGAAGAACAATCGTATATAAAAACATTTTTACAGGCATTTTACACACCTTGGGTTTGGGTAATGTCATATTTATTGCCAGAAAATATATCAAACTATAATAACATACTTTGGTATTATAATCTATGTAACCCACCTTGTGAGATGTCATATCTGTGTCAACATATCCAGGGTGAGCACAGTTCACCACAAGGTCTTCTCGGGGATCTGCATCAAAGGCTCTCTGCTGGATGCGTGTGAGAGCTGATACGCCTACTTTGCTCACCACATATGTGCTGCTTGGCCAACCAGCTTCCTTCCATTTTCCCTCTTTTGCTTTTCTGGAAGGTGCATATAATTGGTAATAGTGTGTTAACAAAATATCACTTCAATTTCAATACAATAATTCCATAAAATGAAAAATGATAAAGAAAAAGAAAAGAAAGAAATAAAAACAAAATTACACAAAAGTTGAAGTTATCAAATAAGAAAAAAGAGACAAAACGAAAAAGAAAATATACCTAATGATAACTTACTCTACAAATTGGTTCATGAGGTCAGACAGTTCCTCTTCTGTAAGAGATGGTGAAGCAAACTTCTCTCTGAGAGCAGAGGCCTGTGGCTCATTTCCATTAATGCGCGAAAGATGGCCTGCAGAACTGGACACCGTAGACACCCTAGCATGTGGTCTTAGGAGTGGGAACAAACTCCTACACAGTGCCAAAGTACCAAAGTAGTTCACTCTAATGGTATTTTCAGCTTGCTCCCCAAAAGATTCTGTGGCTGCCATCTGTTATGAAGGAATTGGACAGCAATACAATAATTCAGATTAATAATACTATGTTAGGTCTTATATCTAATACCAGTAAATATAAAAGCCAAAGCAGTCTGTTCAATTTCCCCAATGATGCTAGGATGGCATAATTCCATGCCATTTCCACTGAGATTTTGTATTAATTGTCTTTACACATAGATGGCTCCACAAGTTAACCATTTCCTGGGCAAAAATTGGTATGTTAGTATATCTACATATATTTAAAATAAAAGCTGTGCATTTGTTCTTGGAAATTTTCCCAACTTTATCATTATTACTCTGCCATGATATATGCCAGCTTGCCCAATATGCAACATATTGAGTGTGTGCACTTTTGGCTGTTTGGCTAGTTTCATGAATACTTATTCATAGATGCTTGTAAATTATTAGACCTACATATGATCCTTCAAGTATGACTATGATTTGCGTATTTTGCCCCTTGAAGGAAGAATGTTATTTATTGCTATATATAACTTGCAATCATTGGACAGCCAAATTTAGTACACTTGTCAGATTCTCAGTGTGTATGCTTATGATCGTATTTGATTAATTTTCTGGGTAATGAGAGAAGGCAATACTAAGATATCATAAAATGGCAATATTTCATCAACAGAATTAAACATCATATTTTGCATTGTAAGCATGGAACAATTCCTTGACTTATTAAGATACAAAGCAACTTTCCACATGGTGCAGAAGATATTATTCTTATATTCATAGCTTTTCTTACATCACAGTCAACAAGGCAGGCAATTAGGGTATTTTCAGGGTCTGGCCAGTTCTTTTCATAAATAGGACAAACAGTTGGGGAGACGGCAACAGTTCTAGTACAAGTATTAAAAGAGGATTGAAGTTCGGCAAGAATAGGTTTACTAGTGGGATCAGTCAAGGTATATAGTGCATGAGCATGGGACTCAGATGGAACTGTGAGAAGCTGTGAACAATCAAACCTTTTTTCTTGCTCTATGGAAAGATCTTATGATCCCCCCCACCCCCTAAAACTTAAGAAGGGAAATTGGGTGAGGTCCAGCAGACCTACTAATAGGCTCCTTGTTAACTGAACACTTGTGGAGCCATTTAAGTGCAAACAAAATTCAGAATAGAAAACTAAAGCCAATAGTGCATATACCTGGCAGTAATTGGTTAATATGGTGTTTCTTATCCAAACTCAACAACTTTCATGAAAGAAGCTGTGCTATGTTTAAAATGATAATCTTAAATGTCAAACACTGATTAATTCATAAGCAAATACAAATTCTATATAATAATTACACTAGTCATCAAATATCAAACACACACACACCACACAACACCCACCCCACACACACACACTATATATATATAGAGAGAGAGAGAGAGAGAGAGAGAGAGATATGACTTTACCTTGTAGGCAATAGCTGCATTATTAACTAGAACATCAAGCCCTCCATATGTGTTCTTTATATAACTTGTAAACTTTGAAATGCTGTCAGCATTGTCAATGTCAAGTTGATGAAAACGAGGAGCGAAGCCAAGCTGGAAAAAATATACACATTTACTTCAATTACCGGTGAAAAGATTGTCTTGTTCAAAAACATTTAGCTTTGGTTGCTATCAAAAGCATATTCAGCAAACCATCTTGACATATTGAGATGCTTCTGTAAAACCTATTTTTATGCAATGTTCTGAAAGAGATAGACAAATATAGATACATATAAGGTAGAGAGAGAGAGAGAGAGAGAGAGAGAGAGAGAGAGAGAGAGAGAGAGAGAGAGAGAGAGAGAGAGAGAGAGAGAGAGAGAGAGAGAGAGAGAGAGAGAGAACAGAAGGAGAGGAGAGAGAGAGAGAACAGAAACAGACAGAGAGTCCTGTAATGAAGGTAAAAAATAGAATAGACTTGATGCAACTTGATAGATAACTTCAATATAAATTATGCTCACTTTCTTGAGGTCTTCAACAGCAGCCAGGCCCCTTCCTTCATCCCGGGCAGTGAGATAAACAACGCCATCAAACTTGGCACATAACTCTTTCATTATCCCATATCCAATTCCTTTATTGCCCCAGTCACCTGTGAATGAAGATATCACAAATTAATGAAATAATAGTAAAGTATTCTACATTATTTTATAATATACATTATATATATATATATATATATATATATATATATATATATATATATATATATATATATATATATATATATATATATATATATATATATATATATGAAAAACAAACTTGTAATCTGTATCATATACAAATCCAAATAAAAGTACTGTGATCGGAGACAAATACCCACACTAGTGGGGCAGAGTCAATTAATTGTTGCAAAATCCATACTACACATTCTAGCAAAGGACAATAGAATGCTATTGTGGCTATTCTTGCCAAATAGAGTTTCTACCGGTTCCATTCTTGATGACAAATTACCAGGAAGGTCTATCTTGCTAGAATAAACATTGTTGTTTCTTTGCCATTGCTAGAGATTTATCAGCAGAAGAGGTGCAGAGCCAAAGGCAGCCATGCAAGTATCTTTGAAACACCTACTAAAAAATTATCAGAAGCAATGACTGATAATATAATTACTCATATGTCATTGGAAACATATACTCTCAGCCAGAAATAATTACATTATCACAATTACAATGATCAACAAAACATTTTACATATGAAGTACAATAAAATCTTACCACAGCAATCCTTTTTCCAGCCATGTTCCTTGCTCCTTTCTAACCCTGCAATATGGATTTGTAAAGTTAAGACAAAAGCAAAAACACGAGTTATTCTGTTAAATATATAAAAAAAAACAGATGTAAGAGTAAAAAAAGAAAAATAAACACCATTCAGACATTAAAGATTAATGCAAGACAAAATAAGAAGAGCACACAAATATGAATAAATAATACCACTACAGAAGAAAACATAATATCACTATATAAATTAAAATGCCCCCTCTGATAAGGACTCAAACCCATTCTTCCCAGGTTACAAGCACCAGAGAAAGTAGAGCAGCTCTCTCTGGTGCTTGTTGCCTGGGGAGAGCGGGCTCCGTACTCCATTCCTTGTCAGGCAGGTCATTCAGATTCCTATAAAAAAGTGTTAATGCCGTCTTCCACACTGCGTTTTCCATCATTTTGTGTTACAAGGAATGTATCCAGTCTACAATTTTAGTATAGTATAAGGACTGAGTGTAGATCAACCAAAATTATTAAGGTATAGATGCATTAAACAAGGACAAATTAAAGATTTGTTGTCATCGGTAAAAGAAATAATAAATACATGGAAACACCATAAATAAAGGCGAAAGATTACGGAAAATACTGTTTACATCCCAAGTCCACTTGGTGCTTCCAAGTTTCACCTATATCTTGCTGTGTATACCAAGGTGAAGACAATGTTTGCCAGGGTTCTCCCCCCATCAACCCTCCCCTCAGGCATACCCAGTCACGGGAATTTAGGCAACTAAAGAAAGTTTGACATGGAGTTGGTAACAAGTCTCTGGCATGTGCGTCCATACTGTAAAGAATTACCCTTTATACCTATCAATATTCTAAATTTTGCAACTCTTATAAAACATGGTGGAGGGTTACTGGCCTTTGCCTGAGCACAAACATAGACGGCACAGCATCTCTCTATATAATCCGATTCTGAATAATTACCAACCAATCAAATGTAAGCCATTCGGAAAGATCCTCTCTGACAAATAACGACACAAGACATTACATTTTTTCTCTTTGCATAGCACAGCCAGGAAACGAAATCAAGTGTGTACAGTTAAAATATCAACAGACAATCAACCACTCCTTGAGAGCTCAAGGACGTGTCCTATCTCACCGCAGGCGCAGCACCCACTGTCACGCCTCTGGGTGATCACCGGCTAAGTAACCTTGGACGAGATGTGCTTGTCACCGTGACTGAAATCTTGAAATTTACAGATCTAATAGTAGATTGCTGCTAAAACTGATCGCAAGTTCATAGAAATGTGACATTTATACCAAAGACTATATGCCAAAGACTTTATATACTATATTTGTATTTAGTGTTTGTTTATACACACGCTCCTTGTTGTTATTGGTGATGTAAGTACTCGGATTTCTCGTTTGGATTTATTTCTGTATATTGCGATCAAATTGTCTTCCCAGAACGTTAAACGACTTCTAAAACCAATACATTGTTTTAAGACGTGATGATTGATAAAAGAACAGTGTAGAAGTTCATGGAAAACGAATAAAAAGGCCGGTCGGGAGGGTGGACGACGGTGAAGACCTTGTCTTAAACTGAGAATCGCACTTTTAGGAACGAAAAGGACATTCTTAGAGAAGTGAATGAAATGGTTACAGATTAAGGTTGATCTTTACCTAATAAAAGCCGCAGCCGTTTATCAAAAGCCTGTTTCCTTGCTGTTCAGTCCAGCGATTCCGTGGCCTCCTCGCTCTGGCAAAGGCCAAGAAGCTGTCGTCACACTTATTATACATAAATGGAGATGGTAGACTCTCCTGGCAACTTATTATTAAAAGAGGAACCATTCGCAGTTCCATGTTGTAGTTATACAGGGTAGAGGATTGTTAGCCACTCTCAGGGGAACTATGCAGCAAACATTTTCGTCATTTACTGGTAAATACGAGGCTGCTGCAACACAAACTGTTTTGTTTCTTATTCTATTTCTTACGCTCCATAAGATGGAAGTGTCCATTTCCTTCTATATCTGTGTGTCACTCTCAATAACCTATAGTAAAAGGGCTACCAAATATTAAGGAGTGTGCCTGAGGTGATGCAAACATTTGCCGGAGCAAGGCCGATAGATGTCATTTCTCCTCCTGCTCTTTTATCTCCTCTTTCTCTCTCTCTTTTTCTTTCTTTTCCTTCTCCTTCTTTTCCTTCTCCTCCTTCTTCTCCACCTCTTTTTCTTTCTCTTTCTCTTCCTACTCCTTCTTCTCCTCCTTCCCCTTCTTCTCCTTCTTCTCCTTCTTCACCTTCTCCTTCTTCTCCTTCTTCTCCTTCCTCTCCTTCCTCTCCTTCTCTCCTCCTTCTCCTTCCTTCTCCTTCTCCTTCTCCTTCTCCTTCTCCTTCTCCTTCTCCTTCTCCTTCTCCTTCTCTTCTCCTTCTCCTTCTCCTTCTCCTTCTCCTTCTCCTTCTCCTTCTCCTTCTCCTTCTCCCTTCTCCTTCTCCTTCTCCTTCTCCTTCTCCTTCTCCTTCTCTCTTCTCCTTCTCCTTCTCTTCTTCCTTCTCCTTCTCCTTCTCCTCCTTCTCCTTCTCCTTCTCCTCCTTCTCCTTCTCCTTCTCCTTCTCCTTCTCCTTCTCCTCCTTCTCCTTCTCCTTCTCCTTCTCCTTCTCCTTCTTCTCCTTCTCCTTCTCCTTCTCCTTCTCCTTCTCCTTCTCCTTCTCCTTCTCCTTCTCCTTCTCCTTCTCCTTCTCCTTCTCCTTCTCCTTCTCCTTCTCCTTCCTCCTCCTCCTCCTCCTTCCTCCACCTCCACCTCCTCCTCATTTCATAGCATAATTCATTGTTGGTAATTTTTTTAGAGTACTGTCACAGTCGCCCAAGACCAGATCCCAAACTCCACGTCACAAAATTTATTCATCAGTCTAAGTTGCTGTGACTGGGCATGCCCTTCAGGCACTGCCTGAGGGGAGAGTTGATGGGGGGCCTGGCCTATAAGACCCACCGGGAAGCATTTTCTTTCTGTGATCTTTTAACTTTATTTGTGGCGTTACTGATCGTGTATGCAACTTTTTGTCCTATACAAGAATATCATATTCAATTTGCCCTAACTTAATGTGTACATATTTTAAAGATTAATCCAGTGTTTTCAACTACTTTTGCCCATTACCCAGTTGTGGCATACCCAATTAGTTGTGACCCTTTGCCCTTCAGAATTGTGTGATGATGATAATAAAATCATAATAATTCATATTCATGTTTTATTTACTGCAAGTAAAACTCATGCTTTGTACTGTAATCAAAATCTGTATGACTTGTACAACCTCTGTGTCGTGTAAATACTATATTATGTAGTTAATTTGAAAGGTGTGCTTATTTCACTACAGGAGCACTAATTTGGGTGATAGTTGTCAATAATGTAAATCTTTTGTTGTGCTCAGTTCCTAGGAGGTTTCTTGTTGTTATCATTATTTGCAATATGGTGGGTGTGGGCAAAAGCATAGTAAAAGATTAAGGTTTTTAGTCCAAACTTCTCAAAATTACCAGTCATTTTTCATTCTTTGATGATGTCTGTAGTTGCCCTGAGATCCACAATTTGAAAAATTGCCCTGGCTTTTGCATGCACCTATTTTATGCAATGTACAGATATTCATTGATATTCATTGTGGTGGTGAATGAATCTGTTGATCAATACCAATACATGTTTTAATTTCTTTTTATTATTTCTCTCTTCTGAAAGAACATCAAGCTGCAGAAGTATGGCTTCGAAATTGCCAGCAGCTTCTGGGTTATATAACTATGCAAGATTAACTGCAAATTCAACCCATTATGCGAAACGGATGAACCGTCTGAGTAACCGGATCTTTGGAGAAGTTGTCCGACCAACCAGTGTGCAGTGAGTAGACCTAATTACTTTAAAAAGAGATCATGTGATACTTTTGCTTCTTCTCTGGTATTGTTCAGACTTTTAGCATGATTGTTATTTTTGTGATCTGCAGTTATACTGTTTGAATTTAATAAGTATACAAGAAAACATAGAAATGTATTTTAGAAGTTTTAAGAATTGCTTGTATCCTTTAATACATCAGATATTTTAATTACAGAACGTATGTGCCAGAAAAGTAAAGAAAAAAGTATTGATCAAAGTTGCCCTTGCAGGTCTCAGCGTGTTGTAAAGATGTTTGCCGAGAAGCCCTTAGATCTTCGACCAGAGATCACGGACTACTATCCTCGTCACATAGAAACAAACAGCCTCATGTCACTCCTAAGAAAGGTAGGGAAAGGAGGGAAGAAGGAAGGGAGGAAGGGGGAAGGGGAAGGGGAAGGGGAGAAGGAAGGAGGGAGAGAGGAGGAGAGGAGGGAGGAAAAAGGAGGGAGAGAGGTAGGGAAAAAAGGAGGGAGGGAGGAAGGGAAGTATGAGGGAGGAATTGAGTAAGGAAAGAAGCGAAGGAGAGGAAGAGGAAGGAAAGACATAGAGAGAAAGAGAAAGAGAGAGCAGGAGGGAGGGAAGGAAGAAGAGGGAAGAGGGAGGAGAGGGGGAGGGGGAGAGGGATTTGGAGAGGGATTTGGAGAGGGATTTGGAGAGGGATTGGAGAGGGATTTGGAGAGGGATTTGGAGAGGGATTTGGAGAGGGGAGAGGGATGGAGAGGGATTTGGAGAGGATTTGGAGAGGGATGAGAGGGAGAGAGGGAGAGAGGGATGGAGAGAGGGATGGAGGAGAGGAGAGAGGGATGGAGAGAGAGAGAGAGAGAGAGAGAGAGAGAGAGAGAGAGAGAGAGAGAGAGAGAGAGAGAGAGAGAGAGAGAGAGAGAGAGAGAGAGAGAGAGAGAGAGGAATGGAGAGGGAGTGAGAGAGAGGGTGAAAGGGTTAGAAGAAGAGAGGGTGAGATGGTGAGAGTGAGAGAGTGAGAGGGAGAGAGGGTAAGAATGAGACAGGGTGAGAGGGTGAGAGAGAGAGAGAGAGGGAGATATCATGGTATGTATTTTTCACATTATTATCAGCAGATAGTTGATAGATTTTTTGCCTGAAACAAGTGAATCTGATAAAGAGAAATATGCTTGGAAACAAGGAATATATTTTAAACCTTACATTTTTTTTCATTTATTTGTTTGTGTGTGGAGACTCTGCATTGAAATATATTCTTGTTTTAATGGAAAAATTAACCATAGTGTTACCCATTTCAGTATGGACTGTATCGAGATGAACATCAAGATTTCAAAGAGGAGATGAAGAGATTAAGGAAGCTGCGCGGGAAGGGAAAACCAAAGAAAGGAGAGGGAAAGCGAGCCAAAAAATAAATTATTTTTTGCGGATAATGAAAATAGAAACTGTATAAAGGAGAATAAAGTATTTCTAGGATCCCGAGTTTCCATATCCTGATCTAGAGGTGTCAGTAAAAGTGATTAAATATTACTTATAATTATGGCAGATTTTTGCTGGTTATTCCCTCTGGTCCCCCAAATTATTTTATGATATATTTTAAGTAGAACTACTTTTAATTCATGAATTGAGAAAATTTACAGCAAAAGTGTTCAAATGTTCTTGGAAAGTGAGTCCTGTTAATTGCATCACTTTTTCATTGTGTTTTTGTGATTCATGAATTGGCCTACAGTGTGTGTTGTGCAAAATAATTCAATTTTCGCTTATCAGAGCTTACATAAAGCCCATGTCTTGTATCAAAAATTTTAATCAGAGCTTACATAAAGCCCATGTCATAGATACAGAAACCTAACAAAATGTTTTTACATTGGGGAAAATCATACAGCCTGATTTTCTTGCTTATTATTTGCTTTATGCTGCACCCCAAGGAATTTCTCATAATACTGAATGAAGCTTTTTGAATAAATAACCTCTTAAAGAGATTATGAAGATGAAGACCAGTAGACCTCTGCACTTGTACTCGTAAAGAACAGTACAAGTAAGAAATCCCAGTATTTTCAAATGTAGATTGGAAGATGCTGTTACTAATTCCACCCTCCTTTTATGGACGGAGACCATGACGACATTCTTGACTGAGAGATCCAGTTCCTTGGCAGTTTTTGCATCCCTTCAGTTTGGCCAATGGTTTGTGAAAAAATCGGGAACATCCTGACAAGCTGTAAAAGAGCCGAAGTTG